GTGTAGCGGCTTTCAGTGAAGATAGGAGACTGGTTCAGAAGCAGTGCAAGGATCAGTCAGGTATAAATTATGAGATGTAGGGTGGAGGATCACTATTCATCCTATTTCCTTCGTAAGAAAATAAATTTGTGTAAACTGCTAAGACTATCTCTATGAAAATAAATTTAGAAAGATTCCATACCTACGTATTTTCTACTTCACTTGGCTTTACAAAAAAAAAAACCTTTTCATGTAACAGAAATATAAATGTAAATGGGTTCTTTCTGGAAGGAACTGTATCTTTAACAGAAATGTCAGGAAAGAATGAATCTAAGTTATATACAACATTAGCAAGATATGAAGATTTAACCTTTTTTCTCAATCACATGTTGCTGATTTGGTGGAGTACCAAAAAGTACATATAGAAAGAAAAAAAACTATAAGGCAAAAAACTGATATCTTCCCGAACAGGAGATAATCCCATAAAAGTCATTGGTGTCTAATTTAAAGCATTTGTTTTCCTTTAGAAAAGAGTTACTGTCACTTATTCTCAATTAAGTTCGTCGTTCAGGTATAAATAGTTTTATAATATTTTAAAACACTGTTAAGATAATTTAGCTTAGTGGCTTTCATACATTTCTGACCATACCTATAATAAGACAAATATTTTCATTGTGCCTAGTACACACATAAATATGTATATGTGATTTTAAAAATAAAACACAAACTTTTATAATATCTACTCTTATGTATGAGGCACTCTGCTATTTTCTTTTAAAACATTTTTATTTAATTTCAATAGTTTTGGGGGAACAGGTGGTTTTTGATTACATAGATAAGTTCTTTAGTGGTGATTTCTGAGATTTTGGTGCACCGGTCACCCAAGCAGTGTACACTATACCCATTGGGTAGCCTTTTATCCTTCACGCCCCTTCCCACAGTTCCCCCTGAGTCTCCAAAGTCCATTATATTATTCTTATGCCCCTGCATCCTCATAGGTTAGCTTCCACTTATAGATAAGTATATACAATATTTGATTTTCTATTCCTGAGTTACTTCGCTTAGAATAATGGTCTCCTTCCAGGCGAGGTGGCTCATGCCTGTAATCCCAGCACTTTGGGAGGCTGAGATGGGCAGATCATGAGGTCAAGAGATTAAGACCATCCTGGCCAACATGGTGAAACCCTGTCTCTACTAAAAATACAAAAATTAGCTGGGTGTGGTGGCACACACCTGTAGTCCCAGCTACTTAGGAGGCTGAGGCAGGAGAATGACTTGAACCCGGGAGGCGGAGGTTTCAGTGAGCCGAGATTGTGCCGCTGCACTCCAGCCTGGGTGACAGAGCAAGACATTGTTTAAAAAACAAAAAAACAATGAAAAAAGGAATAATGGTCTCCAACTCCATCCAAGTTGCTGCAAATGACATTATTTTGTTCCTTTTTATGGCTGACTGGTATTCTGTGGTATACGTGTGTGTACATACAAATACATCAATATGCAGTAGAGGTGTCTGCAACTTAGAAATGGAGTTTACAGTTGAGTGTTATTTTGCAGAACAATGTAGAGTAAGTCTCATTCCTCGTTCATATAACAGACTTCAGTATATGAAACTTCCGCTGCCCTTGAATTTATTTATTTTTCTCACAACTAAACATCCTCAGCATCTACTCATTTTCTTTTGGGGCCATTCTTCTTTTTTTTTTTTTTTTGAAAATGGAGTAATAATTTACATAAAACGAAATATACAGATCTTAAAGGACAGTTGGATCAATTTTGATAAATGCATACACTTATGTACCTTCCCTAGCAAGACAAAAAACATTTCCATGACCATACAAAGTTCCCTCATGCTTCTTCCTAATTAATCTCCTCATCTCCATTCACCACCAGAAGCATTCATTAATCTGACTTCCACCATTACAGAATAATTTTATAAGATTACCCTTTTACTATCCTTGGTCCACAGCTCAACCCCTCCTCTTAACCCCTTAGCTGGAATATATTCTAGTTTGTTAAAATCCTTCTTAAAACTGATTATTTGCAATTTGATATGTTAATCCAAATGTAGTTTAAATGATTAAGAAAACGATATTACGTGAAAATGTCCGGGAATCCCACATATGGTTCTACTGACTCATGTGGAGTTGGAGATTAAGTAAAACTTCTATCTAAAAAGAAGTGTTATAAACTATTGCACTTTTGCATTTGTTATATATAGATCTCTCGTTCTCTCTCTCTACACACACACGCGCGCACACACACACACAGACAGACATATATATATATATTTGAGTCAGGGTCTTGCTCTGGGTATAGTGGTACAATCCTGGCCCACTGTGGCCTCGAACTCCTGGGCTCAAGCAATCCTCCTGCCTCAGCCTCCCAAGTAGCTGGGATAAAAGGTGTGTACCAACATGCTCAGCTAAGTTTTTTTTTTTTTTTTTAGAAATGGGGTCTTGCTATGTTGCCCAGGCTAATCTTGAGCTCCTGGGCTCAAGCTATCATCCTGCCTCTACCTCCCAAAGTCCTGGGATAACTGGCATAAGCCATGGTAGCTGGCCTGTAATATTTTCCTTTTGGACCTAAGTTTAGAATTTTACTTTTATGCTTGTTGACGTTAATCTTGTTAGCTTTGCTTGTTGTTTCAAAGTATTCAGTAATTTTAAATTTTGTAATTAATATATTTTATTCTATTCCTTCTTCCTTTGTGTCATCTGCCAATTTGAAAATCACATCTTTTATATGATCATCAAAATATTGATGGAAATCTAGCACAGGACATAGCTAGGAAAAGAGTCCTAGAATACTGACCTAACTCTAATAACTTACAAAGTCGTGGGTTAACCTAATGATGGGGGTGACTATGCCTAACATTCTACTCTACAGCTTCTGCTTCTTCATCTTGTTCCTAATATTATTGATTATGTAATTTTAAGACATATCCTTCTGTTTGGATAACATTTTTTCTTCTGTCCATACTTACATCTTAAGTGATCACATTGAGTCCCTTGGCTTGAAATACACCAATATGCTGACAGGTCCAAATGTATTGCTCCAGCTTGGACCTCTCCCCCAAACTCAGATTTATAAACCAAACTGCCTACGTGACATTTTCAACTGGAATCTAACAGTCACCTCATCAAACAAACACATCTGTTTTTGTGCTGATAGTAAAAGAACACCACAGACTGGATAATTTATAAATAACAGAAATGTATTTCTCACAGTTCTGAAGACCGAGAAGTCCAAGATTAAGGCATTAGCAGGTTTGGTCTCTGGTGAGGGCTTCTCTTTCTTCCAAGATGATACCTTGTTGCCGCATCCTCCAGATGGGAGGAACACTGTGTCCTTACATAGTGGAAGACCAGGAGGGCAAGAGAGTTCTTCCTTCCCCTTGAGACCTTTTATAATGGTGCTAAACCCATTCATGAGGGTTGAACCCTCAAGACTCAATCACTTCCCAAAAGGCCACGTGTCTTCATGTTGTTGCATTAAGGATTGAGTTTCCACATGATTTTTGGGGAGGACACCGTTATCCAAACCATAGAAACATCCGAAAACAAAGAGTTGATTCCCAGCCCATCCAACCTACACTTACTTTAAAGTTTCCTATTTTGCAAATGATATCTTTGTTCTTCTTGTTCCTCAGATCTAAATGCTTGGAGTCATTTTTGGTCCTTTTCTGTTTTTTACCCTCTTCATGTAATCAAACAGGAAAAACTATGGGATTTTTGGGTTTGAATACACCCAATATTTGGCCACTTCTCAAAAACTCTGCTTCAATAACCCTGGGTCTGGTCACCATCATCTCTTCCACAGATGGTTATGATAACTTCCATTTGGCCTCCCTGCCTTCCACATTTGCTTCCTAAGGCCTTTTCTCCACACAGCAGGAAAGATCCTGTTCAAACTGGTCTTGAGTAGGTCATTTTCCTCTCAAGAGCCTCAGTGTCTTTGCAACTCAGAGTATAATTTAAAGTCTATAGAAGGCTGGGCACAGTGGCTTATGCCTGTAATTCCAGCACTTTGGGAGGCTGAGGGGGGGCAGACCACTTGAAGTCAGAAGTTCAAGACCAGCCTGGTCAACATCGTGAAACCCCGTCTCTACTAAAAGTACAAAAATTAGTTGGGTGTGGTGGTGCATGCCTGTAATCCCAGCTACTTGGGAGGCTGAAGCAGGAGAATCATTTGAACCCGGGAGGCAGAGGTTGCAGTGGGCTGGGATTATGTCACTGTACTCCAGCCTGGACAACAGAGCAAGACTCTTTCTCTAACTAAATAAATAAATAAAGTCTATAGATCCTCCAAGGCCCTCCATTAACTGCCGCCTGCCTCAGCCTCCCTTTTTTTTCTCATTCTTCCCTGACTGCTCTTGCTTCCACCACTGCCTTTGCTCCAGCCACTCTGGCTTCCTTGCAGTGTGTTTCCAGCTCAGGGCATCATGTCATCCATCCTCTTGTAATATTCCCTCCTGTCCTCATTCCTTTCTGTCCTCTTCCAATATCTGCATAGCTCACTCCCTTGCTTCTTGCCGTCCTCTGCTTGGGTGCTCAAATGCATTTAATCAGAGAGGCCTTTCCTGGCCAGTGCCACGCTCATCCTCCTTTACCTGTGACATGGCTGGGATCGGTGTCTCCACCAAATCTTTTGTCGAATTGCAATCCCCAATGTTGGACGTGGAGCCTGGTGGGAGGTGATTAAATCACAGGGGCGGATTTCCTATGAATGGTTTAGCATCATCCCCTTTGATACTGTCCTCATGATAGTGAGTGAGTTCTCATAGTATCTGGTTGTTTAAAAGTGTGTGACACTGACCCCGCCTGCCTTGGTCCTGCTCCTGCTGTATAAGATGCCTGCCCCTGCTTTGCCCTTTGCCATGAGTAAGAGCTCCCTGAAGCCTTCCCAGAGGCAGATGCCACCATGCTTCCTGTACAGCCTGCAGAACCATGACCAAATAAACATCTTTTCTTTATAATTTACCCAGTCTCAGGTATTTTTTTTAACAGCAATGCGAGAACAACCTATACAACCTGCTTAACTTTGTTCAAGGCGTTATCACCTCCACACATGTTATGTATTTATTTTTCATTCCCTTCTTCTGGAATTTAAGCTCCACTTGAGTAAGTATTTGTTTTCAACTGTTATATTCCCAGGGGCTGAAGTGGTGCCTGAAACATGGTGGGAATTTCATAAATACTTTTTGAATGAATTAATTGAATGGATAAGTCGGTGAATGCTATACCCAGAAGGAAATATTAGGTGAGAAAAATTTATATGTGACATAATGCATAAAAAGATTAGTAATACTTAAAACATTCAAAAAGTTAAAAATTTCTTTGTTATACTTTTTTTTTTCCTGAAACAAAAAGCTTCTAAATTAAAATTTGGCCATTTTAAGAGTCTAAATCCAACGTATTTGTAATAGAAGACATGATTAGGTATGATTCTCTGATTTCAGGCCATTACAGAGCTAAGCTGGAGCCTGATTTGTTGTGCATTGCCAAGGCACATTTATAGATGGGAGGTGATACATGTACTAGCAAAGACATAGAGCCATATAATTTAAATTATATTTAAATTAATGCAAGAAGAGTCTGAAGAACTCTTCTTTTTTGACACCAATTAGAAGAGAAAGTGGCTTTTAAAGAATAAGCCGTCTGCTGAAGAGAGACCTGTAATTTATTTGACTCTTTAATTCTACATACATTGTCTAGGTTATTTTGACTTTGTTAAAACATAAGGCAAAAAAAACCATAAATGCTGTATAAATCAAGAGCTTAGATTCCACAGAGAAATAGATACAGTGTCTTTCTATTAATTGTAAAAAGCACTTGCCTTGAACAAGTCGACTTTGCTGATGATGCTGAAGTTCACATCAATGGCGAGGGCTAACTGGACCGTAGTTGGCAGGGTCTTAAGCAAATCGGACTCATCTTTGTAAAGATAAACGCATCAAACCCCGATGCAGAATAATTAATGAAATAAGTTGCCAAGGTACAAGTAGAAAATTTTTAAAAATAAAGGAAACAAAATGCAAACACTTTTTATACATAATTATATGCATCAGATTCTATATTTTCATTACTTCTATTGGACCTCCATACCTATTACAATAACACTATTATGCTTATGCAAGAAAAGAAGTATTTTTAAGTCTGGATGACGTACTAAATGATTCCTGAACATTATGCTTGCTGAAACTTTAGATATGAAACATAATGATCATAGCACAAAGGCTAGTGAACAAGCCAGCATGGGCAAAGGATCTAGTTCTTGTTTTCTGATTCTATTGATTCCAGCCTTAGCATTCAAGGGATGGCAAATAATAATGAGCACCATGTGGCACTGGAGAGCTTACAGAGCTCTGTCACACCCATTATCTTATTTGACCCTTGTGACAACCCCAAGGGTAAGTGTTCTCATTCCTACTTTGCAGAAAGAAGAAAAACAAAAGAACTGAAGCCCCGAGAAACTGTAAGTGACTTGCTCCATTGTGCACAATTAATAGGTGGCTCAGCTGGGATGAAATCTAAAGAAAAAATGTGCTAAGAGAGTAAATTCAAATTATTGTTATTTACTTGCTTATTATCAATGAAGAATGTGAATACATTACAGATTTTTCTACATGTGAATTGAATGATGGGCTTTCAGGCTGATAAAATGTTCCATAAACAAAATTGCCTATTCTTTTTTTTCCCTTTCTTAAAATCTTGTATTTGAAGTTCAGGGGTTCATGTGCAAGTTTGTTATATAGGTAAACTCGTGTCATGGAGATTTGTTGTACAGATTATTTCGTCACCCAGGTATTAAGCTTAGTACCTATTCATTGTTTTTCCTGATCCTTTCCCTCCGCCCACCCTCTACCCTCCAGTAGGCCCAGGGTCTTTCTGTTCCCCTCCAGAAAATTCCCTGTTCTTAACGTTTAGAATGCCAAGAGTTTCTGAGAGTTGATTATTTTTTGATGTTTTCTTATACTATTTAGAAAAGAGAAGAATTGCTATATTACATCCCTATTTTGATTCAAATATAGATTCTAAACATAAAAATCCTTCACATATAAACAGCTTATTGTTTCCGAGGGCTGCCTCTAGTTACCTCCTAAGCCAAGGAGTTGAGTCATTATCTACCCTCGCTAAGGGGTGTGAGGGAAGGAGCCTGGCACCACTCCTTTTGTTGCTCTTTCTGCCCACTTCAGATGCCCTCAAGTAGCTGCAGATGTTCTAGAGAGAGGCATGTTGTTTTTGGTCATGCAGGAAGAGATTCTAAACATGAGACTGGAGTCTCCTAAGACTGTTAGAAAGGTGAAGAAAAGATCCTACCATAATAACCAGTGGTTTCTGTCTACTCTTAGGAACCTTTGTGCTTTGAGAATTTCATTGTAATTTGCACTCTGGAGCATTTTTGGTTTCTCAGTGGCACTAATTCCTATTTTCATATGGTGAGAACAAACTAAAAGTTGAGTTTCATTATTGTCAACTAGCAGTGCATTATCCTGAACTTATTTTATATCCCTCAATAACTATTATTTTTTAGCTACAGTAGTATAGTGGTATAGTGGTGGCACCATTAATTATTTAGCATCTCGTGGAAGCAACTGTGTGCCCTGAGGCGGGGTGGGAGTGGCCTGAAAGGTTGCTGCTTTCCATTAGCACAGGTGACCCTTGAACAACATGTGTTTGAACTACACAGGTCCACTTATACAAGGGTTTTCTTCCACCTCTGCTACACCTGAGAGCAAAGTCGGCTCCTTTTTCTCCTCCTCCTCAGCCTACTCAACAGTGGAGATGAGGAGGATGAAGACCTTTATGATGATCTACTGTCACTAAATGACTAGTAAGTAGAGTTCTTTTCTTTATAATTTTCCTAATAACATTTTGTTTTCTCTAGTTTATTGTAAGAATATGGTATGTAATACACATAACATACAAAATGTGTGTTAATCGACTGTGTATATTATCAGTAAGTCTTCTAGTTAACAGTAGGCTATTAGTAGTTCAGTTTTGGGGGAGTCAAAAGTTATATGTGGATTTCTTTCTTTTATTTTGAGGCAGAGTCTGGCTCTGTTGCCTAGGCTGGAGGGTAGTGGTGCATCACCACACTCTGCTGATTTTTGTATTCTCAGTAGAGACAGAGTTTTACCATATTAGCCAGCCTGGTCTTGAACTCCTGATCTCAAGTGATCTCCCTGCCTTGGCCTCCCAAAATGCTGAGATTATAGGAGTGAGCCACCACACCTGGCCTCAAAAGTTATATGTGGATTTCTGACTGTGGAGTGAGGGTTGGCATTGTTGACCCCCACTTGCACTATGTTCTGGGTAAGAGAGTAATATTGCAGTAAGAGCAAGGGTTTGGAAGATGCAGGTCTGAGTTCTAATTAGACCACGTGCTGGCTCTGTGTCTTTGGCCAAATTTCTCAGTTAGGAGCCTCCATTCTCTTGCCTTAAAAGGGATAGACAATACCTAATTTTCCCACTTCCTTTTTTGTATGTGTGACTATATGAGACAATGTGTGTAATAGCCAGCATCCAGAAGATGCTGATTAAAATTTAGCCTTTTCTCTTCCAAGGTTTTCAAAATCAGTAAGATATGGCTTTATATTTAAGGAAAAACAAAACAAAACAAAAAAACCAAAACAAAACCCTGTAGTATTAAACGAATGCTTTAAGGATCATTTAGTTGTTTTTCAACCTTTTGTTCAAATCCAATTAGTCTCTGCTACCTTACAGAATTTTCATCATATGACAAGGTTTACAGGAATTTAATTAGTAAACTGCCATGCTTACCTAGCATTCGCTGAGAGTCCCATGTATATTCATACCAAGTCCGCACTCGCTTTTGCACAAGTTTAGGAATGGAGTAATTGTTCATGTAGGCAATGGTATCATCCATGCAGGCGCGGAAGTAGTTCTGATTGGCTGTAGCTGCCCCAATCACATCTCTCATCTAAAACCACAAATATGGTTACTCCACACCCAGCAGAGGAAATGAGTTCATAAAAGTCACATTACATGTTTTCCACATGATATACTCCCTTCTAATGCCCTGATTACTTGATTTTATTCATTCATTTATTTTTATTTATTCTTGCCCAGACTTAACTTTCCAGCAGTGGATTACATGACTTTAAATACACTGATATTGGGTCCTAATATCACCCACTTCCATAAAATATTGGGCAAATTATATTCTCTCTCTGATCCAATAAGGACAACAATAAGACCTGTAGGACAAACCAAGTGAGAATTCAGACATGTAATGCATAGGACTGCATATAATCTTCTCTGCAAACTTGTATTTCACTGTAGAAATGTTAGTGTACATTGAAAAAATTATACAGCTGTGCTTATGCAAGGAATGTGCAATAAAAGTTGAGCAATTGTCTGGCAGAATGGCTAGTCCATTTTGGTGAGTCTTACTTTGAATGCATCCTTCATAGATTATCCAGTGTAGCTGGCTATATAGACTCAATTCATCATGAAATTGCAACCTCTGTACTTCCCTTTGTGTTGTTTAGACAGATAAAATCAAATCTCATCATGCTTAAGGCATAGTATTCAGCAGAAGTTGAAATGTGCTGAAATTACTGTAGCATCATCTACTGCTGTGACAATTCTTAAGAAACTGTCAGGTTTTAGTTCTTGGATGTTTATAACTCACCCATAAAAACCCACTCTAGGTTAAAAGCTGATCTTTAAGGTCTCAGCACAAAAAAGATATATAGCTCAACTCTTCCTCTCACATAGAGGGAGGTGAGTGGCTGTAAATATGTTTTGACTGTGGGTTTATAATAGGCAGGAAAACCAGGGCCTCACTTTCACACTCCTAAGACTTTGCTCGTTCATTTTAGTAGCTGTTGAGCCTTTCCTGCTTATGGAAAAACGACTCATTCTTGGAAGTCTAGCTCAAATGCTTCTTTTTAATTGTGATGCCCTCCTCAGTTTCCATTTTTAGAGTCATTAAACTTCTACAAATTAAAACTATCTGTTGAGGAGCTATGCAGCTAGTCCAACTATATATATCTTTTTCAGTCTCTTACTCCTCAGGGGCTCTTCCAAATATTCCTCAACAATCTCAATTCCTAGATCTCACTTTTCCATGCCATTCTTGACTGATAACTTACATTACCTAGTCACCAAAGGCTGGGGGACTTGGTATGTTAGGAGAGGGCTTGGAGATTTAATAGAGTGTTAAGTTGGGAAGCAAGGACTATTAAAAGCATTATTGATTGCTGTTGAGGCTCCAAGAATTTGTAGTGACAGTAATTTAAATCGGTTGTGTGATATCCTTCAGCTATGTTGGGTTTTGTTGTTGTAGGAGTTGAGGAGGATGTATATTCTATGATGGATTCCAGGCTAGGGAAGTATGTGAGAGCATGAGAGGAAGAAAAATGTCCGTTTCTGTGAGTTGTGTCAGAAAATAGAATATTGTAGTTAAAATGTGATGATTGGCTGGGTGCAGTGGCTCATGTCTGTAATGTCAGCATTTTGGGAGATGAGGTGGGGGAATTACTTGAGGCCAGGAGATCAAGACCAGCCTGGGCAACATAGTGAGACTCTGTTTCTACAAAAAATAAATGAAGAAAAGAATTAGCCAGGCATGATGCCATGCACCTGTAGTACCAGACACCTGGGAGGCTGAGGTGAGAGGATTGCTTGAGCCCAGGATTTTGAGGCTACAGTGAGCTATGATTAAGCCACTACACCTTAGCCTGGGCAACAGAGCCAGACCCTTTCTCTTAAAGAAAAAAAAAAAGTGATGGTTAGCTCCAGGGTATAGTCTCCATGTGGGAATTTTGAGTGAGTGGAGGGTTTTGTTTTTGTTTTTGTTTTTTTTTGTTCCAGGCTTTTAAACTTCTATTTCTATCTGTTCCCCTGCTCAGCATCTTTTATTCACTATGACAGTTCGAGGCACACATCGTATCTCTAGCCTCAATCTTTCTCTTGTGCTCTATGACCACATTTTTAGTGACTTGGTATTCCTTCTTGTTCCTATTGGAACCTCGAATCCAATTTAAAAGCAGATGTGGTGTGGTGTATAAAACAGCGCTTCTCAAACATTCGTGTGTATATGAATCACTTGACGATTTTGTTAAAATGCAAGTTCTGACTCATTAGTCTCAGGTGGGGCCTGAACTCTGAATTTCTCAAGTGCTGCTGCTGCTGCTTGTCCAAAGATTACACTTTGAGTGGCAAGATAATGGAACTGGTGCTAGAAATAGTATTTTAGTTTTGATGTGAAAATCGCCTTGCACACAGTAAGTGCTCAATACGTGTTAAATTTTACTGTTTTTATCAGTATTGTTATATATGGTTCTACCATATGACCATATGAACTACATGTATGAATCAGGGATGCTTCTTAATCTCTTTAAACTGTAGTTTTCTCATCTGTAAAACAGAGAAAACATTGACTGTGATATGACACCTTCACATTGATTTTATGAGAAATTTTTAAAAAATGTGATTTTTGCGATTTATATTCAAATGGATTTGAATTTAGAATCTCTCAAACCAGCTTCCTATTTTAAACATTGTTAATATAATCTCCCCAGTCATGAAGATAATGATATTTTATACTTACAATTTTTAACTCTTAGTGTTCATCTTCCTAAACCTAAATATTTTCTACATAGAGTTTCCTTTACTACCCCTCTCTGTATTCCATTAACATGTTAAGGCTGGAGCTGCCATATCCCTGTATATCTGTATTAACCTGTTTTATTCTCTGATGTTTGTATTTAATATCAGGGAAGTGGCTGGCCGAGGCCTGCTTGTTTCTCCCAGGTGTAGGTAAGGTTTCTAGGATGGTGGCCCCAGAATTCTCCTGAGAGTGTGTTTTCCAATATGTAACTAATATCTTGAACCCATTCCAATGCCTTCTGCATCAGGTCTTATATGGCTTTAATTTCAGGCGTGACTCCCCGTGTCCTTACAGAAAGAGAGCTGGTGGGGGACTCGTAGTGCAGCTACATTGGGAGGCGTTCGGGTGGGGTGGTTCCCTTTGCGCACGGAGCTGAGCTGCAGTGGCCAGGTGTGCCACTACTCCCAAGCTGGTGCAGAGGAAGGAGCCCTGTCTAAAAAAAAAAGTAAAAAAGAAAAACAATGTGCTTATCCCTTGTCAGCAGATCTTCAATATCAATTAGGTTATTTAATTGTCGTTACTAGACTTGGCTTTTTAGACTTAAGTGCCAAGTGAGATGCTATAGTAAACATTTGTGAAACAATAACTTATTATTTTATATGGCATTTTGTAGTCTCTGGTTTAAATGACCTCTGAAGTCAATTATAACCCAGTGATTTTATAAAAATAGTTGAAATTTAAGTAAATAAAAGAGATTTTAATGGTTTTCATTGGGGTCCAAGTAAAAAGTTACCTTAGAAACAACTTTCTCTGAGAGTTCAAACTAATGCTCTTTGCTGACAGTCTTTTGATAGATTTAATGGCTTAAAAATGGAAAAGCACTGTTGATCTAATCACATCCTCCTTCAACTCATTAAAATAGAAGAAAGTTAGTTTAAAAAAAAAAAAGAAGAACCAGACAGATTTTAATTTTTCCTCCGTAAAGTTTATAAAGACTTCTTACTCTTTCAAAAATGACAGCACTGTGTATCCAGTGATTCATACTCAACTTACCTGACCAATTAAGCTGCTGAACACAAAAACCCCAGAAAAAAAATTCAAGAGTTGAAAAACAATTTCAAATAAAGTTTGTGGTTCTGGAAGGCCACCAATGGTAATTAAAGTTCGAACTGCCCAATAATAACATCTCAGATACCTGTGAAAACAGAAGATACACATTTTGCTTTTTTTCTACATCGCTGAAAGACCACTATTCTTGGGAGAATATAGTACTATTAAATTATAATAACTTTCCTTATATATATAATATAATCAAGATTTTCTTTCTATAGACAGCACTGGCAAACACCATGTGTGCTAACGTAAACTTCTTAATAAACACTGTGAAATGATGAAACAATCCCACGGAGGGTGTTTACTAGCTGTTACCAAAATTTGGTGGTTTAAATAACCACCATTTTTATTAGGCTTATAGTTTTACGGGTCAGAATTTTGTGCAAAGCCCAACAGAGATGACTCATTTATGTTCCATGATGACTGGGCCCTCAGCTGGTATGACTTGAATGGCTGGAGATATCTGGAAAGATTCAATTGAGGTCAAATGTCTGAACCTTTGATTCTGACAGTTGGCTGGGTTCCTCTGTTCCTTTCCATATTATGTCCTTTTGGAATGCCCAAGGTAGCTAGCTCCTTACCTCACATGTCTGAGCCTGAGTTGGGAAGATTGGAACAGTTGGGGGTGACTTGGTATCTTTTATCATTCAGCCTCTCAATGTGACTAGCTTGGGCTTCCTCACAGCATGGACGTCTCAAGGTAGATGGATTTTTACATGAGAGCTGCTTTCCCCCAGAGCAATAGCAGCCCAAGTGGTAGCTGCCAGGTTTCCTATAACTCAGAAGCCCTATATCATCTTATAGTTGCCACATTATATTTGTCAGGCAAGTCACTAAGGCCAAACCAGGTTCAAGGGAAGAGACATTTGAATCCACCTCTCAATGAGAGAAGCAACAAAAAATTTGAGGCTGTTTTTAAACTACCACGCTATTGATTTCTGGGAATATTTTAGAGATCAAATGTATTTATGCAGATGGGAGAACCTTCTATAGTTTAGATCCAATTGTTTTTATGAATGGAAAATAGAACAGATGAATATCTCTTCTATTCTTCACCCACATATTATTATATTATTGAATATGTAAACCATGGCAGAGACAGAGGAGAGCTGAGATCCATCTTAATAGGGAAATTACTGTTGATTGCAATGGACAACTGAACTAGAAATTTGGTATTGAAGAAAATCAAGTATGCTCAGAAATGTACTTGATAAAAATCCTGTACTTGAACAATTGCAAATGAAGAGGCTGGGGTCATTACAGACCAGATAGGAAGAGGACAAGAAAAGAATATGATAAAGATTAGTAAAGAATGTATAACGTTCACTTAGCTAGCCAGAGAGTCCTTAACCTACTATGATTTGATTTTATGATGGCATAAAAGCACTATCCATTCAGTAGAAACCATACTTTTGAATACTCATACAACCTTTCTGTTTTTCACTTTTAGTATGGTGTTCAATAAATTATGAGATAGTCAATAATTTTTTAGAAACTAGGCTTTGTATTAGATGATTTTGCCAAACTGTAGACTAAGGTAAGTGTTCTGAGCACATTTAAGTTAGGCTAGGCTAAGCTATGATGTTTAGTAGGTTAGGTGTATTAATTGCATTTTTGGCTTACAATATTTTCCCTATAGGCTTATTGTGATGTAACCCCATCAGAAGTTGAAGACATCTGTATATATATTTCAGAATTCTTGTGCAGCTAGGCATACTATTTGGTAATTCTACATAGCTGTGACAATGTGGTCTGTATCAAGCATTTCTAGTGAATCTGTTTAAAAAGTTGTTTATATAAAGAATGTCTCCAGGTTTTGTTATAGAGGAACATTTAGATTTTGTGTGTTCCAACTAGCTATTTCAGCATCTTGTGCACAGAAAAGGAGTACTTTTTACAGAATCCTGCCCTAGTCAAGCTTTTATTTCTTATCTAGGTATGCCACATATAACATTAGCACTTTGGGTAACTGGGCATTAATCTTGGAACAAGGGTGGTTTTTTTCTTGTAAAAAATACTTTGAGATTTTAAGATCTTCAAATAGTAAGAAGTTGAGGTTTACAAAGGAAGAAACAAACTGCCGTTGAAGTTAATATTCAAACAAAAACAGATCTAGAAAGAAATCACTCATTTTGAAATTCAATACCTTTTGAAGGACATAGGACTTTTTTTTTTTTTTTAAACCTAGTTCCTTATTACAGGAACAGAAAAAATAATGAACACTTTGGTAGTGCTTGAAAATCGCTATGCCAAGAGAATAAAAATGTTACCACTGTATAATTTTTTTCTAGCAGGCTTCCTTGGACTTACTAAATTATAGTGAACTTGATGTCAAAGAGAACCGCCTTGAAGAAGTATGGAATTAATTTTATGGATTGCATTTTAACTTTTCAAATTCCAATTTATAATTTCCTATTACCTGATTTATTTTGGTCACAGATTTTGGACCTGTGGGTCTCTTTAAATTAAGGAAATTTATTAAACCTGACATTACCCAAGAGTGAAGAGAAACAAGATTCTCTCCCAACATGGTCAATTCCATGATAAGTGTTGGGATTACTGTCCCCTCCAAAGTCACTCAAAAGTTTGTCCTACTTTAACAGGAACAAACATAAGAATTACTTTCTCCCATTTTCTTTTTTATGATGTTAAAAAATAACAATCAAGTGTGAAATTTTGGCATGGATTTTCCAAATCTCAAGGGTTTGGCTTGAACTAATTTTTTTTTGTATATTAAATAGTCTGCTATGCTAATTGGAAGTTTTCTGCCCTGATGCATTGAGATTTATTTTAGGATT